CGCACTAACCCCAGCACAGCAAAAGGCCTTCAGCCTAAGCAGCCCAAAGCCCAAACAGCAGACAGGATTCCCAATGTTCACAAACGGCGAAGAACAGACCAAGTCTCCAAAAAGACAAAAGCAAGCAAAGAACATCTACAACTAAAGTCACATGGCAGACAGACAAAACTCTCACTAGTGAAGCATTTCAGGCCACCGATGCCTTGAGAGGAGAGCAGAGCGGCAAGTCCCTGCAATCCCCTCCTCCCCCTGGGTTCAGGACACCACAAGCAGCAAAGTGGGATATGCTCCCATCTTTAAACAAATTTTAAGCAAGATTACAGGCAAGGTTACACAAGGCAAAACTACCCTAATATACAATATTTACAGATGCTCGCAACAGACAACAGACAACCACTTGCAGCTTATTGTGCACAGCCAGAGAGAACACAAGACGGAATGCCCTGCACTACATATGGGTAAGTGTTGACCCTAAGCTGATCGGGCTTGGGTGGAGAGGCCAGGCAAGGACCGTGAGAGGCCACTCGCAACCAGGAGCTGGCCAAGCTCACCCCATATAGGGGACAACAGCCAACAGACTACAGACAACAGATGCCCCTCCTTACAGGGTTACAGAAGCATAGGTCGAACTGAACGCGGCCCAGTGGGCTGCCAGATGGGGTTGCCAGTGCATTTCCCATGCTTTTATGAGTTATACAACACCCACAAACAATGGAAACAGTAACAGGAGGTACAGTGGTACCTCGATTTTCTAATGTAATCCATTTCAGAAGGCCATTCGAGTTCTGAAACACCGAGGTACCACTGTACCTTAAATATGCCACTCCTGGCTTACAATGCCTGAGACTTACAGATCAGATTAGAACAGGCACGAAACCAGAACGCCAATTCAACCAACAGCGAAAGCGACTGGGAAAGTCATAAGCACTTAAGGAGAGTCCCCCAGTTTAATAACTCGGCAGCTGCTAGGGAGTTTCCACAGGTGCTTGCACAAAGTCTCCCAAGACCAGGAAACCACCCAGAGTCCTTTGGCACTCCCTGAAGGGGCTTACCTTAGGGCTCAGAAGAGGATCCCGGCAGAGTTGCCAAAATATGTTACCGGGAAACCCCTGTGGGGCTCAGGGCTGCCTGTTGCTGTATCCAATTCAACAGAGGCAGAGTTTATTCAGAAGGCTGCCAACCAAGACGACAGGGAGCATACAAGCATCAAAAACCTTTCTTAAGGAGTGGCCTGAGGGATCGGGTTATATGGGGCAAACTGAGGCTACTGCTGTCCTGGAAGTCATTCTTAGGATCTTGATTGCCTGAGGATGTCTCAATAAGGTGATATCTTAACCCATTGTTCACAGCCGCTGTGCCACCTCCTTAATTGCTTCAGTCTAGGATCAAGGGGAGTGTAGGGTGCAAAGGCCTAGGAGAAAGAAGCCTAAGGAAAAAAAAACTTAAATTCCTGCTTACATAAGTGTATGTGTTCTACAATTTTATAAGTAATATAATTATATTTCTGTTATAGAAATAGATTTGTGTGTGTATTAGAGTCAGGAAGATAAGTTTGATGTGTGTATTAGACTTGACATAAGTAACTCCATTTTGTGTGACTGAGTGTAACTGTGAGGCCTGCGTGCCACGATATAATGAACACTTTGTAGCCCCGGCTTCCAACCAGGCCCCCGCGCTCTGTAGGACCCCGATAAGACACACTGAAGACGTCATTATGCACCACACCCTTCGACTGAACTGTATAAAAGCAGGGGCTTTTCGGTCACATCTTTGGATGCTTGTCTGCCCTCCACAGACTTCGTCTCCAGCTCCGGGAAAGCTGCCCCTGCCTTGCTCTGCCCTGCACCTCTCTGCGCGAGCTTCCAGAGGGCTGCAGTGACCTACGCTGTCGCGGCCGCATCCCCGAGCCTCGTGTGTGTCTTTTGGCGGATCCTCCGGGTGGCCCTGCTGGTGCTGAGAACCATCGGGAACTGGTAAATAAACCCTGTGTGATTTGCTTTATGTTCATCTCTGTCTCCCTTCTTGAAACTTGAGTTACTGGCTTGGTCTCATTGAACCAAAGTGTCTCTTGACCCTCACGGTGGCATATCCACGTATTGGGAGTTAGACCACCTGCGTATACGTCTCCAGAGAAACTAGGACAATTTCAGGTTAATTCAGGTGCTCAATCTTTGGAAATTATAAGTGCCCCTATCACTTATGTAATCACAAAAGTTCAAGAGATAACTAAGAACTAGGGCTAGGTTGAAAGATAAGGTTCAACACCGATGTGACACCACTCCTTAAGGACTAGGAGAGGCAGCTGTTTTGCAAATGCATAGAAACAAACACAATGAATCAAACAAAATAAGGAAACAAAAGAATATATTTCAAATGAAAAAACAAAATAAAACCTCAGAAAAAGAACCTAATGAAAGAAATATCATAGATTAAGACCATAAACATAGATTACTTACTCTCTGATGAAAGAGTTCAAAGTAATGATCATAAACATGCTCACCAAATGAGAGAAAAATGGATGAAGACAGTGAGAACTTCAACAAAGAGATAGAAAATATAAGAAAATATCAAACAGAAATCACAGAGCTGAAGAATACAATAACTGAACTGAAAAATACACAAGACGAATTCTACAGCATATGATGAAACAGATCAGCAACCTGACAGACCAGGAAGTGGAACTCACTGAAACAGAGCGGAAAAAAAGAAAATAATCGTTTTTAAGTGATTATAGCTTAAGGGTCCTGTAGGACAACATCAAGGGGAATACCATTTGCATTCTAAGGGTCCCAGAAAGTAGTGAAGACAATGGATGGGATGAAAATACAGTACAGAGTATCAAAGACAAAATCAAGCAGGCAAAAGAATCTGAACTTGAGAGAAACAAGCTGGTGGCGCAGGGAACAGCTGCACCTGCGTGTGGGGTCCTGGGCCCGGGGCAGCGGACCGCGGCGCACTGGTGTTCCTGAAAGAGATCAGCCAGGCGCGTCAGTGCCGAGGCCCCCTGTAAATCAGGGAGCGCCTCCATGTCTGCTGCCCCGTGTGCTCAGCCCCGCACGGTTCCCAGATCCAACTAGACCAGATACTCCCCTACCTTATCTGGGAAACAGTCCTCTGAGACGCCAGTGTGGCTGCAGCCTCCTCTAAAGTGTTGTATCTAGGAATGTCGTAGAAGGTCAGAAGGTTGGCCGGATGCCCTGAAACGCTGTATAAAATGCTGTGGCCCTGAATAAACTTTGCTTGACTCTCACTCAGCATCCCTGAGGGAGAGAGCCCTCCCAGCCCCATTGTCTCGTCTCTTTCTTTTCTTCTTCACCTCCGGAGCACAGTCCTGCTCGCCGCGGCTGGTTCGCGGCA